TTATGTAGGATTTAATCATCTATTTTAATAATCATTTATTACATATTTTTTAAATTACCCCTCATAATTTATATTAACAAAAAATAATTAATATATACTTATATTGATTAACATAAAATATTTTAGTCTAATTTTTTTATTTTCAAACATAATTATTATAATTAATCAACTTTCTTAAATTATGTGATACAGTTTTTTTAAAGTCTTATATATAAAAACAGATGGAGTACTTCCCATGTAGGATTTAATCACTACTGTATGCTTGATACGATAAAAGATTTTTAGTTAAGTTAAATCAGTTCCCTAACAAGTTAATTCAAGCACTCGTGCTTTAATGCCGGGTATCATTTTACATATGTCGTAGTCAAAATGAGGTTATGACCAAAGCATTTAGTCATCGTTTTGAGTTTCGACCACACATGATCATGAGCTGAAACAATAATAGGTCATGATTCGGCTACCTTTTGATAATGCTTTGCTTGGGCTTTGGGTGAATGACATTATTACAACTTTCTATATAAATAAATAATATAAAATTTATACAAAAGTTTTATTAACTCGCTAGTTGACATTTGTCCCAAAAGAAAAATTGATATATGTCGAAAATTAAAGCCTGGCCAATTTATTTATGTTGACCAAGTCTGTGGGTTATTGCCGTATCTTAATCAGTAGTCGGACCCATAATTATTCACTTATTGCTTTGTATCCCAACGATTCGGCAACGTTTAGCTTGTAGTGTTTATCATTTTCTTGTATTATTTAATTTCATACCATCCAAAATAAAAAGTGGGTGGAGTAATTTTTAGTGTGTAGAAAATGATAAAAAAAAACTGTTATGGATGAACAAATTTTCAACTAAAACTCTAAATCACATCTAGATAATTTCTTCAATTTTTAAAACTTGTTAACGAATCTTTTAAATCTCAAAATTTTCATGGATGACTTCCTTTGACCTCCTTCTTCATGAGAAATTCTTATACAGACCTAATGCACCATATCATTTGTGAACTATTTAATAAAAACATGTTTTGTTAGTGCTAATTGAATCAAATAAAATCTTATTTGTTATTATTTTTAATCACTTTATTTTTGGAGTTTCCTTTCTTATTTTTTCTCTCTCCATCATCGTCAATGATGAAATAAATTTATATTTACAACTATATTACATGACATATTTTTATTAGACAGTCCATAAATGATATGGGGCACTAGATCCAGGTAAAAATTTCTCATTTTGCATTGCACTTTTATCTAGATATATTTTTCTAATCCTATTTATAAGTCATTCTCAACAAATGGGACTAAGAAAAACTTTAAACTCATTAACTCTGTCTAAAAATTTAATAAATTCTTTTAGCCTTAAACCCCTATTAAATATACGTACTTCAACAATATATTTCTCTCTCCAACATTGAATGAAGGGTAAAAGAGATAACCTGTGATGAAAGTTTAATAATGTGACCTATAAAGAGAAAAAAAAATTATCTCTGCTATAAATAAGACCGGAGGAAGTACAATTTATCATTTCAACCATTTTTCTTTTAAAAAATTAAAATATCTGTGTACACTTCAGCCGTAAAATTATATATATTTGAAAACCTAGTTGAAAGGTCGGTCCTATCAATCTATCAATATAATACATACACACTCACACAAAACAATATGAAATTAAAGTTTGAAGTTTCATTGCATCCACAAGGTCATAATTAAGAGTGTTGATAAACATTAAAAACATTGGTAGATATAGCTTATCAAAATGAAAGTTACGTTGAAGCGGCCTTATGGAGGCCTAATAAATCACTTGCGTCTAGTTTCGCCTTAGATACCTTATTCTACATTGATTAGAACACTATTTAACATTCCTCTCATATTTGTTTAATTTATTTTATGCATAGATTATAGATGGATGACAATATATAGTTGTATAGCTATATGTATGACAGTATGAGTTATATCCTTTGAATCTGAAGGCTTATATATAAACAATATTACCAACAGTTGTAATATGAATTTCTAATTAGTAAAGTATTATACTAATTTTTAACTTTGCCTTTGAGCTGTACGGATGGACACATTTGATTTAGATCATCCAAATATAATTTGCAACATTTACATTTTATGTTATTTTTATTTTAAAGAAACATGATATAAAATAATCCCAATCATTTACTATCAATTTATAAAAAATATTATTCAAATTAAAAAATATAAAAAACTTATATAATCTAAAATTCTAAACCATGTTATGTAGTAATTTAGTTAGGAAACGTCTAACCATTGCTCTTAGTATTTCAGGAGAAATATTCTCTACTGTTAGCAAAACCTACTCCTTATATTTATCACAAAAATATCATATTTAAAATTCATATATTTAAAGATAAAAGACAGATTAGTTGAGATTCAAAGCGAAAATAGATGATTAAAAGTGACAAGTCTACTTGTATTCTTCAATAAGTGAGAGACAAAAACAAGAGGTGAGAGGAGTAATGAAACTAACAAAGGCATCAATCGTAAAAATGTGAAAAAAACTAGAAGTTTGAAATATGTGGAATTTGAATTTGACAAAGAAGTTGTAATAAAGTATGGACTTAGATGTAGATCAAATTCAAATCCAATAAACTTTTATGTCTCCAAACAGAAGATTTGATACAAGGTGAATGCATTTTGGATGGGAATGCCGCTAATTTTTTTTTTTCCAAACTAAATATCTCCAAAGTGACTAAATTGAGGGAAAATTTATGTCTCAAATGTTATTGCCGATTCAGATAAAAAAATAAATAAATTTTTTGACAGATTCTCAAATTTATGCCGCGCGTTTTTTTTTTTTTTCCAGTGTCATGAGTTTTATGGCTAACGGCAATCTCGTCATTTTTGTTAGAACAACTGATAAAATTATATATACCCTAAAAGGTTTACTTCTAGAATTGACAAAACGAGAGCCAGCTAATTTTGTTTGATTTAATGGCTTTATTTTCTATAGGGCGACAATAATGCCAAAAGGGATTATAAAGAGTATTAAGGGTTGCGCATCAGAGACTTGAACCCCTTGTGTGTTTGTGTGTATTCTATCTACTCTTAATTATAAGGCAAAGTTAACTATATATAATTTCATGATTTTTAAGAAAGAATAGTTGATCAGTCAAATAAGAAAAAGAGAGAATAGTTTAAACTTAAATTTGTAGAAAAATGAAGAAATTTTAAGATGGACCCATTACACCATGTCATTAATGATCAATCCAATAAGATCATGACATTTAGTTACCATTAAATATAAATTGATTCTAACATTAATGACAATTAAGAGATAAAAGATAAGAAATTAAATAGGTATTATATTATAAAAATAAGAAAAAATTAATTATTTAATTCCTGTAATTTTAACCTAGTTATAACTCAGTCCCTAATATTTGTCTCATTATAACTTAGTCCCTGAAGTTTTGACTCGATTATAAATTAGTCCTTGAACTTTGTTTCTTGTAATTTAGTTCATGAAGTTTTATCCTTTAAATATTGATCCCTGCATTTTAAAAAATAAAATTATAAAAATTAAAAATATTTTAAAATTTATTCCTAATATCTTAAATTACTAAACCCTTTTAATATTTATAAATATCATGAATATTAAAATTTTAAAATGTTTTTAATCTTTATAATTTTTTTTAAAAATAGAGGGACTAATATTTAAGAGGTTGAAACTTCAGGGACTAAATTACAAGAGACAAAGTTTAAAGACTGATTTACAATAGAATCAAAACTTCAAGAACTGAATTATAATAAGTCAAAAATTAGGAACTGAGTTATAACTTAATCAAAACTATAAGGATCAAATGATTAATTTTTTTAAAAAAATAAAATCATTAAAAATAATGACACAAAATTTTATTTGATTAAATTGGTACAATTTTATTGGATAGATCATGGATGACGTGGCATACCAGGTCCATCTAAAAATTTCTCAAATGTGTGACTTTTTAATTTTGTCATTCATTGAAATTAATTAATGGCCATAATAAAGTGTTATATAGAAATTAAAAGACCTATCAAAAACTTGTTAAAATTACGAAATAAGGGTAATTAAGGTTGAAGAAAGTCCAACCACCATATCTTTGCCCTATATTTAGGATTGGATGGAGTATATATATAGATAATACTCCCTCCATCTCAAATTATAGGGCACTTTTAAAGGAGTCTCTCCATCCCAAAATATAAGACATTTTGGGTAGATTAAGCTTTCATTAAATGCATCAATTTTAATATTATCCTTTCTTTCTCTATAATTAATTTTTGTCCCTTCTCTTATCAACATATTAAATGATGGGTATTTTTAAAAGTTTATATTTTTATTTTGAAAAGACAAGGTTATTAAGTGTATTTAATAAAGTTTATTGGTATGTGAAATTTTATCTAAAAATTTCTTATAATTTGGGACAAAGAGAGTATAAGATAAACTCAACTAACTTCATATTTATTAAGAAATGATAGTTACATCCTTGGAATTGTTAAGAAAAATATGTAATTTTATCATTTTCCCCTTTTTTACAATTAATAAACATAATAACTTATTGTCTAAAAATTCATAGGATAATAAATAACTAAATAAGAGGTAATTACTCTAATCTTATCTTATATTAAAGATATATTTTTTTTTAAAATTTGCATTCTATTAAGGATTGCAGGGAGTATCTACCAGATTCTGTCAAGTCACGTAATATATTTCATTGGAAATGCTACTTTATATTAATATTCCGGTTAAGACTAAACATTCTTAGGGTTTTATATATTTATTTAATCCCCATACGTTTTCATATATTTTATTAGTCAACGAGCCAATCGGCCAAAATTTATATATATATATATATAGAGAGAGAGAGAGAGCGAGAGAGAGAGAGAGAGAGAGAGAGAGAGAGAGAGTATACACACGTAGATGCATCTTTAAGGACATTAAAAATAAAATAATCAAAATTTTGGCCTCTCCTTCCACCATTAGCCTTCAAAGTCCTTGACTTCCAAGGCAGCCCTTGTCTTCACCATAAGGCTTATTCTTGGTTCTTAGCATTTGCCGATATGACTTTGCTCCTTTTCTCCCTGAATCATTCTAGTTTTTGTCTTTCTCAAAACTTTCAATTCCCCAAAAAGCCTTCCGTCTTTTCCTTCCTCTAAGGAAAAAGCTATAACATTCTGGTTTTCATCTTTCACTGTACTTTCAGTACTCATCAAAGAAATGCCATCGAACTGTTTCTGCTGTTTCCTCGCGCAAGAAGAACACCAGCAAGTCAAAACAAGGTATGTATATCTGATCTCTCTCTCTCTCTCTCTCTCTCTCGTGTGTTTCTATCAAACAAGAACGATCCTTCTGATATTTCCCTGTTGCGTTTCTGTTTGCTGAAGGGAAAACAATAATAGGGACTATCCATGGGAAATGTATACGCTAAAGGAGTTGCTTCGTGCAACAAACAATTTTCATCAAGATAACAAGATCGGAGAGGGTGGCTTTGGAAGTGTGTATTGGGGTCGAACAAGTAAAGGCATCGAGGCAATCATATATATCTATATATACACCGACATATCCATATCTTGTCTCTTTCATTCTGACTTCTGTATGATATTTATGTGGAACGTGATTTCTGCAGATTGCAGTGAAGAGACTGAAGACGATGACTGCAAAAGCAGAGATGGAATTTGCAGTAGAAGTAGAAGTACTTGGAAGAGTGAGGCATAAGAATCTGTTGGGTCTGAGAGGATTCTATGCAGGTGGAGAAGAAAGACTCATTGTTTACGATTACATGCCCAATCATAGCTTGCTCACACATCTTCACGGCCAGCTCGCTTCAAGTTGTCAGCTAGATTGGCCTAAACGAATGAGCATCGCCATCGGAGCAGCTGAAGGCTTAGCGTGAGTAACTCATCACCATCATCATTTATTAGGGCTGGCATGTTAAACGTGAACAGACCGATCTCTGATCTCTTTCCTTTTCAATTATGAAGGTATCTGCATCATGAGGCGAGTCCTCACATTATACACAGAGACATAAAAGCGAGCAACGTGCTTCTGGACACTGAATTTCAAGCAAAAGTGGCTGATTTTGGTTTTGCAAAGCTCATACCTGAAGGTGTGAGCCATCTAACCACAAGAGTCAAAGGGACTTTGGGATATTTGGCGCCAGAATACGCCATGTGGGGAAAAGTTTCTGAGAGCTGTGATGTGTACAGCTTTGGGATTTTGCTTTTGGAGATCATAAGTGCGAAGAAACCGATAGAGAAGCTTCCAGGAGGAGTGAAAAGAGATATAGTTCAGTGGGTAACACCTTATGTTCAAAAGGGTATCTTCAATCATATTGCAGATCCAAAGCTGAAGGGTAAGTTTGACATGGAGCAGCTGAAATCTGTGGTGGTTCTGGCTATGAAGTGCACCGACAGTAGCCCGGAGAAGAGGCCGAGTATGGCAGAGGTGGTGGAGTGGCTCAAGGGCTGCAGCGGCGGCGGCGGCGTTGTGCGGAGGAGGAAGGAGATTCCGGCCGTGAGGGACAACAATAATGGAGAAGTAGAAAACGACAAGAATGATAAGGACTATGAAGACCTGGGAAAGAGGCAATCCATGTTGAGAATACCAAGCGATAGATATAAAATAAGATGATATTGCTTTGATGAGTTCTGTGTTTGTGTGACATTAAATATGGATCTCGCTGTTCATGGAGAGTGAAATATGGAATTTTATACTTCGGAGTTTGTGAGGTATCTTCTTGGCTTTCACACCTTTTCTGATGCTGTCTCGCCGAATGACCGTACGACGATGACTTCGTCTTGCAATTAATTCTAGACTTAGCTTATTTCTCAAGGGATATATTTGTGTATGTTTATTTTTTAAATAGTAGCGTGATTTACGTTTTGGAATTTAAGTTCAGTGGAAAAGTTATAATAAATATAATCGACTAATACTCAATATTGGATATAATGGAGGAGGTTTTTATTTTTTTAATGACTAAAGTATATTTTTAATTCTCTAACTTTATATAAAATTTTAATTTTATAAAATACTTTTTAGTCCTTTAACTCTATCATTTCAAATGATTATCTTTTATGTCAATTATTATTATTTTTTAAAAATAAACTTAATATGTCAATATTTTAAAATATTTTGTTAATATTTAAAAGTTTAATATAAAAATTTATTAGGATGAAACTAACAATATTAGAATTATAGGACTAAAAAATACTTTATAAAGTTGAGAGACTAAAATAAAATTTTGAATAAAATTAAAGGATTAAATGTGTACTTTAGTATTTTTTTAAATTTAAGCATTTTTTTCTGATTTTTTTAAACAAATTAAAGTTGAGGGTTCAAAACTTCAAATCCCTTAGATTTAAAAATTACCTTCAAAACATTTATCTCTAATTGTGATAATATAATTTGAATTTGACCTTAAAATATTGAAGACAGGATAGTAGGAAAAAAAAAGCCGCGTGAAATATTAATGTGTTAATATATAAGATTTGAGTTTCAAACATTGTATGAAACTTAAGATAAGAAGCTTTAATTTGTTCATGAATGTTAAATAATATGAGCTTATATATATCGATTTTAAGGTTTTCTTTAAAAAAATTTAGATGATAGTGGATTCATTAATTTAAATAAAAATTGAAGAATAAATACCACCGACCAACTTAACGCACCACCCACATTATTGCCGTACGTCAACTGTAACGTGACCAGCTGGGACTATGTTGGGAATTAACTGCTCGAAACTCAAACATGAGATTGGTAAACTAGGAAAAATTAGTCCACAACATAAAAAATTAATATTCAAATTTTTTTATGAAAGATATTCATATTTAATATCTGACTATATTTTAAATAAAATTTGACTCTAATAATAGAGCACGTGTGAATTATAAAAAAAATACGCTACTATAAAAAAAAAATTCACGTTGCTTTTGTAGAAGTATTTACTTGCATATTGTGAGGGACATAGATCCAAGCAACATAAAAAGATGAAATATTCACATTACTTTTATGAGAGGCATGGATAAAAAAAAACAACGTCACTTTTAATAATGAGATCTGTAGTTTATTAAGAAACCACATCCCTTTTATAGAAAAAAGGACCTAATTTCTAAAGAAATCACATCTTTTTTATTAAAAAAATGATGAAACCATGTCCTTCTTTTTCTTAATATAAGCTACATCTTTTTTTACAAAAGTAACATTTTTTATTATTATTATGATTTTACACATAGTGAATCAGTATTTTATATTATAACCAATTGAGCCTACAAATTTTTACAACAGCATAATCATATGACTAATGAAATACCAAAATCATTATCTACTCAAGTGTTCAATATTTACAATTAAAGTCTAATAAACTACAACAATATATTTATTTGACTTTCTAACCATCTAATTTTTCTATAAGTCTAGCTAAACTATAAAATTTTCACTATATAAATAGCTCTTTAAGAAGCTAACCTGCCAAACTATTTGATATATTTTTAGTGAAGTATAATAAAATTTAAATTAAAAAAGAAATTAAAACAATTTAAATATCTTAAAAAACTAATATTTATAAAAATAATTTTAACCTGCATGTTAAATATATCTTTATTGAATAACAGACATGAAAGTTAAAATTAATTTTTTGTTCATTAAATTATATTTTTTTGAATAAAATTAACCACATCGTGTTTACATGTAAACAAAGTTGATTTTTTAAAGTAATTTGATTTAATAAAAGTTGATTTAATATCTACGTCCTATTCTTGTGAAAAGTGATGTGGATATGTGAAAAATCAACGTCCTAATTTATATAAAACAACATGAATTATTTCAAAAATAAAAATAATGTTTTCAAAATCAACGTCTCTTTAAAATAAAAGCGACGTGAAAATTTTTTCTATATTTAGATATGATGAAATTTTTTTAAAATAATTTAACCACGTTACATTTTAGATCAAAGATGTCATTTTATCAAATAATTTTTTTAATCTATAATTAGCTATATCATTTTTTTGTTAAAAGAACGTGGATTATATAACAAATTTTAACGAAAATTAATTCTTAAATCAACGTCAATATCTACATCCTATTTTTGTTGAAACCGATGTGGATTTTCTTGGCTATTATTTAATAGTGATAAAATAAGAATATCCATGTCGCTTGTTGGTAAAAATGACATGGGTTATTCTCATATTTTTTAAATTCAAACTTTAACCCTCCGCCCGCAAAGCCCTAAAAGGTTCAGATTTAATGCTCCCTCGGCATTGGAACCCAAAACCTCGCCTCTTTTTCCCCTCTTCTCTCCTAAATGCACAGACCTCAGCTCCTCCTTCAGCTCAAGCTCCCCTCAGGGCCTCTTCTTCCCACAGCTTTGCTTCGCTTCTCCCCTGTTCAATTTTGTTCCCACACGCCATTCAGGTTTTTTTTTTAAATTATTGTCTGCTCATTCCATTAATTTTTTATGCCCAGAAAATTTTTTTTATTGGTATCTTCTCTCAATAAATTTTAGTATATTGATTTTAAATTTATTGGAAGATTCTGCTTATCTCAACTGAAATTTTTATTATATTATATGTATCATATGTGCTAGCTGCTTAATGTCTTTTGAGAATTTGGAGAATAGACAATAAGAATATGTATCAAAATCATCTGAAGTTCTCACTCTCTAACGTTTATTATGAATTGGAGAGCATTTGAATCATTGGATAAATCAAGAGGTGAAAATGCTCTCAATGGCAAAGAAACACATATTATTATTTGATTTTGTGTTTTAATTAACTTATATAACTTGCATTCATTTGATGTGTCATTAGGATCCGAAGAATACTGAGGACTATTTTTATCTACCACAATTATATGAGTTTTACAAAGCAATAGCAAAGCCAATCCACTTAACAAAATATAAAGGAATTGTGGGTGTCGATAAGACACATCTCTTTGTAATTGATAAGAAAGATATTCTAAAATTTCTGTTGATGAGGAAGCTAGATATATCTTGGGCCATGTTATTAATTTAATAAATTTATTATTTATATTTTTCTCATTTTTTATTTTAATTTATATGTATTAATTTTTATCTCCTTTTATTAATAGATTTCTCATATTAAATTTTTTTTAATTTTTGTAATAATCCACGTTGTTTTAGAAAAATCAGGACGTTGAATTTTTTACATATACACATTTTTTTAATTTTAATTGACATGGATATGCTTAACGAAATCAAAAATTCACGTCACTTTCTTTGTGTGTGACGTAGATGTTAGAAATCACGTCCTTTATTTGTTAAAAGTGATGTCTATATATTTGAATATTTCTAACTTAATTACATAAATGCCACGTGACTATTTTTTACATCGTGTTTATGAAAAGTGATGTTAATTGAGGGTAATAAAAAGTGTTTTCCGTAGTAGTGATAATAGCTCGAAAATGGAAACACATATCAGGCCAATTGTCCTCATATCAGGCCAACTGTGCTTCAATTCATCAATTTGATGGTCTAAAATAGACCCAAAAATAATAATAATTGTAACCACACACGTTATTATATTTTTTTACATGGGATTGGAGGTTGGGAATTGAGATTGAGATTAGGATTTTTTTTGTTTTTGGATCTCCCACATCTAACATCCTAAAATTGCTTTTTCACTTTAGAATGTTGTTTGGATAATTATAACGTGTGAATTAACTTTTTAAAAGGACTTTGAAAAAGACATCTAGAGTGATGAATTTGGCAATCGAACATTTCAGAGCTTTTGAAATGGAGATGTAATTATGTGACCATGCATAAGTAGTACTAACTTTTAATATTTAGTATGGAGTAATGACAATTCCAATCCTAATACCAATCTCAACTTATATTGGATTACTCAATACCACTACTCATAGTATTGAAAAATCATTCCCAAAATTGACTATTTTTAGACCAAATTCACCTTCACTCCGTCCCTTCCGGTCTCTCCCTCTGCCAACCTTTCATCCCTTCCTCTTTGCCATGTCCGTGACGTTGAAACTCCTCGAACAAAATTCATCTTCAAATCATCTTTCATTTCATACCTACATATTCAGGAACCAACCAATCCATGGGTCTTTTTTGAAAGGGACACAAGACAAGGCTATTTCAATCCCATCCTATTCCACGAACACCTTTATTAATAGTGATGCTAGGAAGACTTTTACCTATACTGAGGTAGAGTTCATTACTCGTAATGTCAATGCCAGCCTTAGCAAGCTTGACATCGCTTCGGAACTGTCCCTAATTCGCTTTGATATGTGGTTCTTCGCACGCATTCTTTTTGAACGAGATGGACACTAAAAAAGACCATGTCCAAGTCATAATAATATAATCACTCTGGGCCAGCTGGCAGGGCTAGACCTAATTTTGGTGTGTCCGTGAACACAGCGGAGAGAACGTGACTGCCAAGACCAATTTTTTTTTTTTTTGGGTCGAGAGCAGGCATGAAGAATGGAGAAAGTTGAGGGCAATTATGTCTTTTACTTTTTTACCTCCGGTTTGACTTGAGTCTTATGATCTTTTTTAATCCCGTTTCATAGCAGGTATAGTTTTAGAAGTTATATATTCTCACCTCCAATCTCATTCCGCATTCTTTAAAATTCAATACTTCATGTCAAATATAAAACTTTTTTTTTTCCTAAACGACCATGGTATTCATATGTGAAATTCAAACTGAGATTCTTGTTTGAAATAATCAAATAATTAGCTATACAGAAAACTCTAGTTTGGTGACTCTTTTTTTTTTTTTGGGTGAATCTAGTTTGATTACTTTGTTAAATGGTAAGAATTGGTAAAATAGCTAGGAGAGACCCTGGTGAGAAAATTGACAGACACCTAATATACCAAATAACA